TGTAAATAACTATTATCTACATATGTAAATCTATTTGACTTTTAAATTTTTTAGTGTTCCCCATTAGCTTATAGCTAAAAACATAGACACTTAAATAAAGTTTTTCATTCATTCATTCATTCATTCACTTGTATTTATATAGCGCTCATATCTTAAACTCATGGCGCTTTACAACACTGTACGGGGGACTTTACCAGACTGCTAAGCAGTTTACAATCACATGAAAGCGAATATAACCTGAGATGCCCCCCCCCGCCCCCAATTCCCAGTAACCAGGCCAGACCACATCACAGTAATACTTTGCATGCTGTGGAAAACTCAAGACGAAACAAATAGATTCTTAAAGTTAAAAGGTTATCTTCCTGCTGAATATTGCCAAACAACTTGTCTCGCGTGTCGTTGTAAGGGAATCTCGAGGTTGGAGACGAGTTGATTCTGATTGGCCAATGATGAGGTCCCCCAGTGAAGTGAACCTGGAAGTGAATCCTAAATACGTCCCTATTTTTTACTTACACACTATTCATTTCAATCTCCTGGTGTTTCAAAATGGCGGCAGAACCGTCTCATATTTGTTTGGAAACTTCCATGGTAAGTCCTTCACTTAAAAAGGAGACCAAAAAGTTATTTTGCGCATTTACTCTCACTTTTAGCCTATTTTGAGTGTCGCTCCTTAGTTATTGCTAGCCACACAGTCCACAAGAACGGAATTGTGCCGACATCGGCAATTCCGAGTGAAAGAACGTGGTCTTTTATCTCTGAGCCAAATGCAGACCAAGAAGAGTTCTCTTTCTTGGATGGAAAGCTATGACCTCACAGTATTCTTGCATAAACTCTGTGGGTGCGTCATTTATTTTTTACATTTTCTGTAATTTCTCGTTTCAGGGTCAGATTGTTTGTGAACTTTATTGGAAGCATACTCCAAAAACATGTAAAAACTTTGCCGAACTGGTGAGTTACTTCAAATTGATACTAAGTGCGGGTTGATTAACGCAAATTTACTACTATTGGAAAGATTTCTGTATAACCCCATACCAATAAAAAACAAAGCCGTAGACGCAAAGGAAATCTGTTGTTTTGCGTCTGCTTTCCTTTATCCAAGAAATTAATGCATAATGAAATCTTGCCCTACTATTTGATATTTTTGGGAAGTCATAACTGTGCTTGCCAGCTCCCAGGCAGTAGGTCAAAGTCTTATGATTGTGGCCATGCATTAAAAACACAAGTCTCAAATAAACAATGCAGCTTAAAGAAATGCGGAACAAATTTTATACTGTAGTATATTTTTAAAAGTAAAATGGGTATAGTGTGTGTAGAGGATTATTTGCATATTTACTATTGACATATGAGCATACAGAGTTATTCCTACATAGTTGTCTGGTTGTCTGGAACCTGAGTCATGTCACCCAAAATTTTAGTTATGTTGCCTGAAATAAAATTCAAGTTACCCAAAGAACAAATGCCGAAAAGATCAGACTTATAGACTGTAAATAGCCAATAAAGTTGAGAAATCTCTATCACTAGAGGGCTGTTTCTTTCTAACAACACCTTGAAGATGGTGATCAGTATAGAAATATGTTTAAGTGATGAGTCTAAAAGCTTTGTTTATTTCTTACAACAAAATGAAGCATTGTTCGTTTGGAATGTACTCATTGTATCCCCACAGACATTTCATAAACTTCAGAAACTTTATCACTCAAGCGCTGTTGGTTTCTATTAACACCATGAAGACTTTGATGACTGTACACAGAAATCAATCATGTTGTCAGGATTGACAGGGCTCAACACTAACTTTCAACTTACAAGCCAAGTGGCTAGTGAAATCTTAGATGGTATGACAATTTCAGTTTGTTTCCTAGCCAAACTGGCTAGTGGAAATCAAAAACACTAGCCAAAACCGAATTTCTACTAGTCTGTGGCTAGTGGGCTACTGTTAGTGTCGAGCTTTGATTGAAATACGTTTGAGTAATGACTCTAAAAGTGTTGTTCATTTCCAACATCAAAGCAAAGTTTTGTTGGTTTCTACAATAACAAAATGCAGCATTGCACCGCCTGTTTGTCATTCACCTGTTTTGTACCTACAGGCATTTTGTACACTCTAGAACTTTATCATTGAAGGGGTTTTTCGTTTCTAACATTTTACCATAAAGACTTTGACTTTGCAGAAATTGATTATATAGTCAGAACCGAAAGACATTTGAGTGAAGACTCTAAAAAGTGTTGTTTGTTGCATTGTTTGTTTGGTGTGCATTCATTAGGATATTTCTTACTAGTTTAAGATTAAGTCTGTTAGGGATGTAGACTGAAATAGCTAAACATTGTTCATGTTGGTTATATCTGTTTGAAATCTAGCATGAATTGTTTTTTATTATAGTTCTCGGGGACTTTGTTGAGCATTTGGGTATCATATTTAAAGAGGAATTTAAAGGTTTATAGTTGAAGTTTGGTATTGTAATTTAATCAGGCAATATAACTCAGGATTTTGAGGGACATGTTATATATTTCTTGCGAACGTTTTAATCGGGTTGCATTAATAGTTACATTTTACTACTGAATGATTGCTAACGTACAGTGTAAGTAAATACATGAAAAGGCTGTCTCAATCAATCTGTACCTTCAGTGGTTTCTAAAAATATGCCATTTTGGTGTTTCCACAAGTGTTAAAAAAATCAGGTGACTTGTCTCTATTTCAGTGGATGCGACTCAGGTTCCAGGTGACACAATTTGGGGTGAGATGACTTTTGCATGAATTGACCATAAACCGGGAGAACAGGAGAAAAGTTTGTAAATTACAGGCTAGAGACAAGTGATCACCAAAACTTTTCTCTTGTTCTCCCAACATCCTGTGTGGGTTGTTGCTGCAGTAATGGATAGATAGTGCAGTCTATTGCTTTTCTAAAATAAAAGTACTTGACCCACTGATTACAGATACACATAAGCATGTGCACACACACAAATACTCACAAATGCAATACTAATGACTATTGGATGAGACTTAGCGGAGATCAAAATTAATTAATTAAACGTAATGAGACATGTCAGTAGAGATCTAGAGGTTCTCCGGTTTCTTTTTGAGTAGATGGAGGCTACTTGACTGGGTATAAATTATATTGGTTTAATACCAGTGCAATAAACAG